GGAATGCTACATTTCAGCGCCTGATACAGCTCGTACTAAAGGACTTGATACCAAAGAAATGCTCAGTCTACCCTGACAACATTACTGTCTACAGCCGAACGTTCGAAGAGCATCTCGATGCTCCATGCGAAATGTTTGAAAGGCTCAGGGTGGCAGGGTTCAGGCTAAAACCAGAGAAATGCTGGTTTCTCTGCCCCAAAAATATGAAATATCTCAAAATATCTCGGCCAAGTAATCAGCCGAGAGGGAGTACAAACCGACCCAAAGGCGGTAAAGGTTAGCAGTTGGCCTAAACCTACCAATGTCGAGGAAGTCAGAAGCTTCTTGGACGTAGCCTCCTATAATCGGCGGTTCGTGCCAGGTTTTGCTAATATACCGGCGCCATTGCACTGACTGGCACACAAGAAGGGTTAGACTTGGAGCGCCGAATGTTAAAATGCCTTCTAAATGCTCAAGAAACTCACTCAAGCTCCTTTGCAGGCATCACCCGATATTTCACCTAGTGCACAATCTTTCATCCTGAAAACCTGTAACAGACAAGAAGACTGAAAATTCCTCTCAATTACCTTTCATTTTCTTATCTTTATTCGCTATTCTATCGTGCATTCTTCCCGACAGTGGTTTTCATGTCGGTGAATTTTCTCTTATGAACCTTTTATTTCAACTTTTTACGGTGAGGCATATGTATTGGACACACACTTCAAGTGCTTTGCTCTTACATGCAAATGAGATTCAGTGCTTTTTCTTGTTTTATTGCGACCAAAGTTTCGATTGGACGCTCGTTGTTGAACTAACTGTTGCTTTCGGTTATAGTGAAACCCTTTTGGCTGTAAGGCTCAAGATTATTTTGCTTGATCTGTTGACGAATGCAGAATTTTCCTATTGGTCCAGAATTATCTGAAAGGTAGTTAAAATCACTCACTTTCTTATTTTCAACGGATGGACTGCGTTACCTTGACCTTGACCGCGCGCGGTTGAAAATCTGTCGTGGATAGATAAGTTCGCATTTTTACGTTTTACACGTGTTTTTCTGTACATTATTGCTTATATCCTTAGTTGTGACCACCCTAAACTAACTCTGCGATTTATATTTTACTAGTACCACTACTCTTTAACTATGTATTTTGAGCTCTGTGAATCCTCCGAAGAGGACACTTTACCCATGCGGGAAATCCCCATACTACATGAGGTGACTGAAAACAGCGACTGGGCTAGCACCCGAATAGCGCTAGAAGCGCCTTTAGTCGCCCTTGACCTGCAAGGTTCGTTTATACACGAACTGCGTGGAAAAGTCTCGGCACTAGATAACGATTTGAGTCACCTGACAGCGTTATTTAAAGATAACTTCCCAGCATGTGCTGCCGCAGGCCAGGCGATTGCGCTGTTGAAACAACAGATATTGGACACTGCAGCCAAACTACAATCAGCGGCCATTAGCGCCAAACGGATTATAATTCGGGATAGTTTCCCCAAGTTCAATGCTCCGGTTCAGACAACCGAAGCCCTCTTGAGTAGCCATACAGCGCCATCCCTACCCAAACCAATCAAAGCGTCGTGGCTGATGTCCAAATCTAAGAAGGCGAAGGTGGGCATCCTTATCACCTTCAACTTGGATCCAGTGGTAGCAGACGCTCTCGCCCAAACCGAGACCCTGAAAAAGGCATGGAACCTTGTCCAGGGAGTTTCCCCAGACAAGCCACTGCATACCCGAACTCAGCGGAAGAA